GAAGGCCTCTCTGTCTGACTGTCTGTCTGTGTGTGAAGGGACCACTGCACCACTGCCGCCACATTTTTGGTCAAACAAGGCTGACAGGCTGAGGGGCAGGGAGGGAGGGAGAGAGAGAGAGAGGGCACCTGGGCGTCTATCTACGTGCCTATAGGTACCTTGCTTGTCAGTGGCAGGGCAGCTGGGCACTCTTGTAGTGAGTGCTGCAAGAGAATGATGAGTTGAGTGATTGCTGACTGAGAGTTTTGTCTTTTTGTTTCCTCTCGAGGGATCCCACCACTCATTCGCACATTGAGTGCAGCGCGCCGCGCCCAGTCGACCACACAGCTGCAGATCGGCACACCACACGTGTGTGTGTGTGTGTGTGTATATGCTGTGTGGCTCTCGACACGGCCCGACCGTGGTGTGAGGTGTTTGTTGTGTATGGTAGCTACTATCGCATCTGTCTGTGTATGTGTGCATTGATTGGGAAGGGCTGCAGGCCAGCTGAGACTGACCATTGCCCGGCAGCTGGCAGCGACTGAGCGAATGACTGAGGACTGAGTGTGTATCTATGGGATATGCTGTTTTATCTGTCCGTCTGTCTGTATATCCGTCTGTCTGTCTGTCTGATTGTGGCGCATGACGTGTGTGACGACTGACTGACTGACTGACTGACCAGAGGGCACGAAGAGCAGCAGACTGGTGCGTGCGTGGCCAAGGGGACTGACTTTATCCGGTGGCCTTTCTCTCTTCGGATCAATAATCCTGATAACGATGCAGCCTCTCGCCGAACGATTGCAACACCTTTACGCAGACAGACAGACAGACAGAGAGCTGTCCCCATCAGTCAGTCAGTCAGCGCTATCACGTGTGTGTCAAACCATAGCCAGGCAGAAACGCATCAGCATCAAACAGACGAGGGATGGCTGGAGGGGTGGGTGACAGGCCAACACAGTCGCTTCGTTCAACAGACGCATGGCAGAAATCTGCCGCTCATCGAAGGTGAGTCGTGGAGACCAAGCACACACGCAGCCAGGAATCGTGAAAAAACAGACCTGATCAAAATGTCCCTGTGGACAAGAGGCACCCCGCACCCTTGAAATCAGTCTGCCCATCTCTTCGTTCACACGAACACGCAGGCACACAGGAAAGAAACAAGCCGCCGCCACCAGCTCGCCTCTCTCTCTCTCGCCGCTCGCCTCTCTCTCTGCGCGTGTCGGCCGCTGGGTGGATCGGTCTGCTTGTCTACCTACGCCGAAGTGGATTGGTTCTTCTCGATGTAGCTGACGGCGTCGGCGACGGTGACGATGTTGGTGGCCTCCTCGTCGGGGATCTCAATCCCGAACTTCTCCTCAAAGGCCATGACCAGCTCCACGCTGTCAAGACTGTCGGCTCCCAGGTCCTGCACACAGACAGACAGACAGACACCCATCACACACAGAGAGAGAGAGAGAGAGAGACAAATCGACTGCATGCCCGTTGGTCATGAGTCATGGTTGGTTGTTGTGATGACGTGCGCACCTGCACGAAGTTGGCGGAGTCGGTGACCTTCTCCTTGTCGACGCCAAGCTGCTCCGCCACCAGGTCCTTGACACGCTCAAGCACCTCCGGCTCGGCCCGCAGCACCAGCAGCGACTGATGGGTGGCGGGGCGATACCGCAGACCTCCACGAAGCACCACAGAAGGGGCGGGCGCCACAAACGCTGCACACACACACACACACACACGCGCAGATCAGGTCACATCAGAGACCGCGCTGGCTGCATGAGCCGCGCATCTATGTCGGCGTGCGTGTCTTGTCTCCACCTGTGCATCTGATCTGATCTGCCGTCGCGTGCGGGTGTTGAGTGAGCATACCGCTGCTGAGGGTGACGAGTGCAGCGAGCACAGCGCCGAAGAGGGCGGTCCTTCTGAACATCATGGCGACTCGGCTGCCTTCAGGAAGAGAGTGACGAGGGCTGATGGGAGGAGCGGGTGTGAGCGTCAGCGTCGCTGTGTTTTACGTCGACCCCAGTGGATTTGATCTCGCAAGCAAAAGCCGGGAACTTCGGCCTTTTCTGGTGCAGAATCAAGCCACACGCGCTGTGCCAGACCGCATTGCCAACACGCAATGAGCCCGCGGATCATCCGCTCTCCGCTGCGTTGACCGCCAGCCATTCGGGAAAAAAGCAGCCGCGAGGCGTCCACACGTCGTCGTTATCGGCCCTCTCTCCCTCCCTCCCTCTGTCTGTCTGTCCGTCGGTCTGTCGGTCGTTTACATGATGACCCGGAGCACCAGGAAGGGCGATGAGCAGTACGACCACCTGGTGAAGCTGCTGCTGCTGGGCGACAGTGCCGTGGGCAAGAGCAGCCTGCTCATGCGCTTCTGCGAGGACAAATTCACCCCGCAGTTCGTTCTCACCATCGGCGTCGACTTCAAGACCAAAACAGTCGCATGTGGCGGCAAGAGACTCAAGCTACAGGTCTGTGCGTCTGTGCGTCTGTGCGTGTTGGTGTGGGTGTGGGAGGCCGGGAGGGAGGGAGAGAGTCACACGCACATCACACGCACTTGCAGAATGCACGCACAACCGTCTGTATCTCCCTCCTTTGCAATGTGTTTGTTTGTCCCTTGTATGTGTGTGTATGTGGGTCTGTCGGCAGGTGTGGGATACAGCGGGTCAGGAGAGGTTTCGCACCATCACGCCAGCCTACTACCGCAGCGCCATGGGCGTCATCCTCACATACGATATCACCTCGATGGAAACCTTCAACAACATCAGGTCGGTCTGCCCGTAGCTAAGCCAGCCGCTGCATGGATGGATGGATGGATGGATGAATGGATGGATGGATGGATGTGGAGCACAAGAGACCCTCCCTCCCTCCCTCCCTCTCTCCCTCCCTCCCTCCCTCCCTCGTGTCGTGCACAGGTACTGGATGAAGAACCTGGAGGATTATGCGGACAAGAACGTGCAGAAGGTGCTGATTGGCAACAAGTGCGACCTCGAGGGCGACAGGCAGGTGCCCACACAGCGGGGCCGCGACCTCGCAGCCGAGTACCACATCCCCTTCTTCGAGACCAGCGCCAAGAGCAACAGCAACGTCGAGGCCTCATTCATGTGTATCAGCGACCTCATCCGGGCGTCGCGGTTCCCGGACGACGGCGAGATGGCGGGGGGTGGCAGCCACGGCATCAGGGTCACGCAGCAGCCCGACCAGCAGCAGAAGAAAAAGTGCTGTGGATAGATAGAGCTCATCCATATGGATGCTGCATGTGTGGCGGCTTGTTTGTCGGTCTTTTGCCGCCCATTGTTTTGCTACGGGGCAAGGGGATGGGGCTGTGGGGGTGGGGGGGATGATGGGGGCGGGGGAGCCAGAGAGTCCTCCCTGCAGCGTGTGTGTGTGTGTGTGTGTTTACATCACCCCGTGTGAGCATGTCATCGACCACGGGGAGACGACGATGCTTTGCTTCTGCACGTCCATCCGTCGTCCGGCTATATGGCTATTTGTGCCTGCCTGCCTGCCTGGAACAGACGGAACAGCGATGCTTCGTCGCTCTCACCAGTGAGTGACAGACACCCTGGCACAGCTTAGCATAGCTTAGCATAGCATAGCATAGCACTGACCCACACGACACATGCCATGCATCCGCCCGTGTGTGTGTGTTTGTACAAACAAACAAACCGATCGCCGTTTTTTGGTCTTCATAACCAACCCATTCATTAACCACATAGATGGATAAGCCACAGCACATGGCTGCGTCGCGTCCACACACACACACGCACACGACACGCACACACATCACAGGGACCCAGGGGCAGACAGTCGGTCGGTCGGTCGGTCGGTCGCAGAAGCATCGACAAGTGAGCAGCAAGGCAAGCAAGGCAGGGAGCGAGGAGGGAAGGGAGGGATCATTCATCCCCTCATTACATTATATCCACACACACCATTTCATGAGCATGAGTGAGACCGAACACCAAACGAGTGAGTCAAAACTGGCTGGCTATTCCCTTGCTCCCTCCCCATCTCACACCCACACCCACCCCACCCACACACGGCCTTTGCTACCCTACCCCCCTCTGCTAAGGTCGCCTCCCGGCAGGAAGGAGGCGATCGACGGCACAATGAAATCGGGCGCCCGGCTCGCATTCTCAGGGCTGCAGGGCAGTGGAGGCGACATGAATGAATGACACGACAAGAGAGAGGGTCGTTATGGGGGGTTGGTTGTCTGTCTGGGTGTCCGCTGCATACCTCTCTGCCTGCTGTTTGCTGTTGACGCCCGTCTCCACCATTAGAGTCGCTGCACACACACACACAGAGAGAGACAGGGAGGGAGGGAGAGGGGTGAGCAGGTTGTGGGGGGGGACACAGCGCAGCAACCGTCTCAGTGGCTTCAATTACCGACCGATGTTGGCCGTCCGCCCGAACTCTATGTCGGTGAACAGATTGTCACCCACCATGCACAAGCTCTCCCGGGGCATACTGAACCGACTGATCACGCCACACACACACACACACACACACACGACACACACAGAATCCATATCCCCCCTGTCCCCCCCACATCCACCCCCACTGGCCACCTGCAGATGTCCTCGATGATGAACGGCCCCGGCTTGCCGACGATGTAAGGCGGCCTGTCCGCCACGATCTCGAGTGCGCTGACGAAGGTGCCTGCCCCGGGGAGCCTGCGGCCGTTGGCGGGGAAGTGTCTGTCCTTGTTGGTGACGAGGAAGAGCCGCGATGGGTCGGTGTTGAGGAGCATGCCGGCGTAGGAGATCTTGTAATAGTTGACCTCGTGGTCGAAACCCATCACGACGGCGCGAATGCTCTCGTCGAGCTGCCCGCCGCAATGCAATCAACGCACACACCGTGAGTGCATGTGAAGGGACGACCAACTGTCTGTGTGTGGGTGTGGGGGGGTGAAAAGGGTGTGTGTGTGTGTGGAGGAGG